AAATGGGATTGCTGAGCGCCGCATTGGCATGGTCATGGACGTCGCTCGTACGTCCATGATCTATGCGGCTGCTCCCCATTTTCTGTGGTCGTTCGCGGTTCAGTACGCGGCGCATCAGATCAACCTTCAGCCCCAAGTCTCCATGCCGGAGACCTCCCCTACTCTGCGGTGGACGGGGAAGGTTGGCGATGCGTCTGCGTTCCGTGTCTGGGGATCTCGAGCTTTCGTCCGTGACTTGTCTGCGGACAAGCTGTCCTCCCGTGCTGTTCCTTGCGTCTTCCTCGGCTTCCCCCCTGACGCGCCTGGTTTGCAGTTTTACCACCCCACCTTGCGTTGTGTTCTGTCCTCCCAGGACGTCACGTTTGACGAGTCGGTTCCGTACTACCGTCTCTTCCCCTACCGCGCTGCCCCCTTCCCCCCCCCCGCCGCTCTTCCTCACGCCCGATCCCCCCCCGGTAGAACCCCTCCCCCCTCAGGGTCCTGCCCCCTCAGGTGTGTCCCAGGTAGATGCAGTCGCGCCTGTCGAGGTAGCTGTTGACTCTGGTGCTTCTGGGGGTGCTGAGCCTGAGCGTGCGGAGCCTGGGGGTGCTGAGCCTGGGGGTGCTGAGCCTGAGCGTGCGGAGCCTGGGGGTGCTGGGTCTGGGGGTGCTGAGCCTGAGCGTGCGGAGCCTGGGGGTGCTGGGTTTGGGGGTGCTGAGCCTGAGCGTGCGGAGCCTGGGGGTGCTAAGCCTGGAGGTGCTGAGAGTGGGGGTGCGGAGCCTGCCGGTGCTGGACCTGGCGGTACTTCGGGTGCTTTGTCCCGGCGGGAGCTACCCTCTCCACAGGAGCTGCGCGAGTGGTTTGCTCGGCGCTGGAGCCGTGCTGCTGGAGCTGGAGGTGCTGCAGGTGCTGCAGGTGCTGGAGGTTCTACTGCTGCTGGGGGTGCTGGAGCCACGGGTCCCGGAGGTGCTCGTACTGGAGGTACTGGAGCTGCTGGGCCTGGTGGTACTACTCGAGCTGGGGCTCCTGGAGGAGCTGGAGCTGGTCGTGCTGCTGGAGTTGGTGCTACTGGAGCCGGTGCTCCTGTGGGTGCTGGAGTTGGCACTACTGGAGCTGCTGGTGGTGCTGCTGCTGCTGGTGGTGCTGCTGGAGTTGGTGCTGACGCTGCAGGTGCTGGTGCTGTCCCTGCTGGTTCTGGAGGCGCTACACGGCGGCGGCCGTACTTCGTTCCACTCCTTGAGCAGGTTCTTGGTCTTCCGCCTTCTTCTAGTCCTGCTCCTTCCTTAGAGTGTCCACTGCCTGTCCAGTCTGAGTCACAGTTACAGCTGGCCTCCCCACTGCCTGCTCCTTCTCCCTACACTGGTCCTACTGGAGGTCTTACTGAGCGCCGTGAGCCTGAGTCGCGTCTTGCGTCCCCTGTTCGTGCTGCTCGCACTAGTCGTCGTGCTCTGCGTCAGCGTCCTCCTGCGGTCCCTGGCACGCATCAGATGACACTGCGTCCTTCCACTGCGCCGCAGCGTGTCCCTTTGCCATCTCCTCCAGAGTCCTCTCTTCCTGCTCTTGCTGACCCAGAGTCTGACTCCCTTCGTACTGCCAGTCCTACTGTCACGCGCTTCCTAGCCACTGTTGTCACTGACCCTTCCTTTGAGTCCACTGCTGCGTCTGCCTTAGTTGCTGAGCTTGTCGACTTCGCTGCTCACTGTCGTCTAGACTACACCGCTAGCCTTGTTGCTGAGTCTGAGTCTCTCTGTCCTCCGTCCGTCGGGGGTGAGTGTGCTCTTAGCACGGACGTCCTTGAGGACAGGCAGGAGGAGTTCCAGTGTTTTGCTGCTGCTTTACCTCATCTCGTGTCCATGCTGCTTGCCCCTGAGGGAGACCCGGATGCACCAGACATCCCGACCCCACGCTCTTACGCAGAGGCAATAGAGGGTCCCTACTCCTCTCAGTGGCAGGCAGCCATGGACGCAGAGATGGCTTCCTGGAAGTCCACAGGCACCTACGTCGACGAGGTTCCCCCACCTGGGGCGAACATCGTCAGTGGCATGTGGATTTTCAGGGTAAAGCGGCCGCCGGGTTCTCCGCCTGTCTTCAAGGCGCGTTACGTGGCTCGAGGCTTCAGTCAGCGGCAGGGAGTTGACTACTTTCAGACCTTCTCCCCGACCCCGAAGATGACCACTCTTCGGGTTCTCCTGCACGTCGCTGCTCAGCATGACTACGAGCTTCACTCTCTTGACTTCAGCACTGCTTTCCTACAGGGCAGCCTGCACGAGGAGATCTGGCTGCGCCGCCCACCTGGCTTCACTGGGTCGTTTCCTGCTGGTACCCAGTGGAGGCTCCGGCGGCCAGTCTACGGTCTCCGCCAGGCGCCCCGTGAGTGACACGACACACTGAGGACTACTCTTTCGGCTCTTGGGTTTGCTCCTTCTACCGCTGACCCGTCGCTGTTTCTTCGCACCGACACTTTGCTGCCGCCGTTCTACATCCTCGTGTACGTCGACGACTTGGTGTTTGCTACGGCTGACACTGCTGGACACGCCCACGTGAAGTCCGAGCTGCAGAAGAGACACACGTGCACAGACCTGGGTGAACTGCGCAGCTATCTTGGCTTGCAGATCACCCGGGACAGAGCACGGCGCACCATTACCCTGACTCAGTCACACATGGTGCAGCAGGTCCTTCAGCGCTTCGACTTCACGTACTCCTCGCCTCAGGCCACTCCTCTGTCTGCTCGCCACTCGCTCTCAGCTCTGCCTTCGGATGAGTCCGTAGAGCCGAGTGTCCTGTACCCAGAGCTTGTTGGTTGCCTCATGTACCTGATGACCTGCACTCGACCTGACCTGGCATACCCTCTTAGCATCTTGGCACGCTATGTTTCTCCTGGCAGACACCGACCAGAGCACATGGCGGCCGCAAAGAGGGTGTTGCGCTACTTGTGCAGTACGTCGGGCATGGGGCTCGTGCTTGGAGGGCGGAGTCCAGTGGTCCTCACTGGTCACGCAGACGCGTCTTGGGTTGACGACCTGGCTACTCAGCGGTCGTCACAGGGTTACACCTTCAGCCTTGGTTCCGGTTCTGTTTCGTGGCGGTCTACCCGCTCGTCTTCTGTTCTCAGCTCCAGCTGTGAGGCTGAGATCTACGCAGGGGCCATGGCTGCACAGGAGTTACGCTGGCTCACCTACCTGCTGACTGACTTGAGAGAGCCGCCTCGTTCTCCTCCTGTTCTGTACGTAGACAACAAGGCCATGCTGGCTTTGTGTCGGGAGCACAGACTGGAGCACAGAACGAAGCACATTGCTCTTCGCTACTTCCTTGCTCGTGAGCTGCAGCTGCGTGGTCAGCTACGCCTTGCTTACGTGGCCTCTCAGGCCAACACTGCTGATATCTTCACCAAGGCACTTCAGCCTTGTGATCATCAGCGCTTCTGTACTATGCTAGGTCTTGTGCCTACTTGGCCCCACTTGCTTACCTCTTGACTTTACTTGTACTGTGATCTATATATATCCCTGCACATGCTTGTTTACCTTTTATATATAATCCTGCATGTGAACTGGCCTTGTGGCCTTTGAACCTGTGCTCGGAATATGTGGTGACGTTGTGATCCACCCTGAGCTTGTTTTGCTCTGCTTTGCTTGACTGGTCTTGTGACCCCTTGTTCTCCCCCACTTTGCCTATGGGGGTGTGTCAAACATTAATCACATAGCCTGTGTAGGCTGTAGTGGGGTAGACACTATGGGGTACAGTTTCTTAGGGTTTCACATTTGTACCCAACTCATTTCCTAGTCAATCATTTTCTCATTTCTTCACATAATGACATATACGAATTTATAAATTTAAGACACCAAATTGTATGTTTCACTCTTGCCATTTCAACCGAGTCGAGAATTTTCGCGTCACAATGCAGAATCTCCTGCAAGCGATTCTCTTCCAGCACACAGGGGCCAAGATGCAACAATTTACAGTCATGCCAGCACATTCTGACTGGACGCGCAGCCATTCAGGTCTTCGAGAGTCAAACTCAGCGAAAATGAGATTGTACTCGCTTCAAAATTGAAACTCGCTACCGTTTCGAACAGAAATTTTAATTTAAAATTGTACATGCGCTTATAATAAGCAACGTTTTCACAGGGGGGGCGCTTATAATTGAGGGTCGGCCATAAGCGCATTGCTCCAGATGGAAGCGCATGCGCTTATAATAGGCCTGCGCTTCTATCCGGGGTGATACGGTAGCTACACTAGGATCTACTGTAGGCAGGTATATTAATGTATACAAATACATTTCAACAGTGACTTCGTGATCCACCCTGAGCTTGCTTTGCTTTTTTTTGACTGGTCTTGTGACCACTAGTTCTCCCCCACTTATATTGTTTTAGGGTGTGTCAATAAGGGTGTGTCAAAATGTTTTAGTGCTTATATTGTGAAGGCTGTAGTGGGGTAGCTCACAAGGGGTACAATCCAATTAAGGTTAGTACTTGTACCAACTTTATGCTCAATGCATTCTTTCTCAGTATTCTGACACATTAGTTTTTAGGGCAAATCAGAGAACTTTCTCTGACTTGTGGGGGCCTGTCTTCTGCACTCTTGCTATTCATGAGCATGCTTTTAAACAAATCATTGCATGTTACTATGGAGTAACATCTCTCACTTCAGTTGCACAGCCAAGCAATATGATACAATCAAGCCAGGAAATATCTGGCTCAGACACACCAGAATGAAAGAATAGAAGAACCATCGAGTTAGCCCGTAGTCGTTGTCAATACCACTATGTCACTAAACTGATTTTCTTCAGTGAGCTGATTGGCATGATCTGAACCAAGGTACCCCTGCGAGCTGCTGCATCCAGCGTGACCCACCCACCCAACCACTGCGTCACCACGTGATGTGACGTGACCTCTCCCTCGGTGCCTCTGCCATCATCACCACAGATCCCCCACTGTCACCTCAACCGAAGCTTTTATTTCTCAACAATTCACGCCCCTTGCTCTCCACATGACGCATCCTCTTTGCTCCCCTCCTGACCGCTCTCAAGGACCACTATTCCATCTCGTGTTGTCTTGGATGTGCTTCGTGCCCATTCGCTGCACCAGCGCATACGTGTCGGGCTCCGGTTGGTTGTAATTGCTGTAGTAGAACACGTCCAACACTCTCCGCGGCCCCACCTTCCCCCTCGAGCAGCTCTTAAACTTCGGCTTCGCGACGACCAATGGGGAGCTCGCAGTCACCGCCAGGTCATCGTTCGCAAAGCTCGCAAATCCGAGCGAGTTGCCGTCCGTAACGTTTGTAATTTTGTAGTAGTTGAACTTGGCTACAGTAGTGAGATTTTCGCAGTACTTGAACCAAGTATTGCGCTTGTTGTTAATGAGTACGAGGTCGAGGAAATTGTCGGAGGGCAGCCCGCTGCATGACCCCGTTTGGGCGGCGGAGAGAGTGTTGGCAGTGTTGCAGGGGTTGCCGCTGATGGTCTGATCAAGACAGATGTCCTTCATCCATGGCCATAGCTGGACAAGGAGAGAAGCGAGGGAAGCAGAAGGGATGGAAAGAGTCAGTAGACCCATAGGGTAACACTTTGCACAAGGATCTAAGCTTGTAGTTTATCTTCGTCATTAAACACCAATTGGTGACTCATTATAAGCACACCAGCAGTGCAACTCACATTGTTCCAGAGCGGCGTGTCGTAGTATTTGCGGCGCATGGACTCCCAGTAGGTGCCCGGGCGGATGGCACAGTTGTTGAGTGTGGGCGTGAGGCACGTGAACCACCCCGTCATGCCCGTCACATTCTTCATGATCACATCCTCCACAAAGTTCCTGCAAGAGGCAAGAGCCAACGGGGAGACAAAGGGGAAGAAATGATGAGGATGTTGGATTCTATGATGGTTGATGAGGCGCCTTTTAAAGTTAAGGAAGGACATAGTGTAGGAAATGGCTCGAAGGAATGGGACGAAACAAGTGTAATTTGTGTTGGACTCATGAATGAAACAAGTTTGAGGGTCATACAGATAGAATCTGCCTCGAGAATGCAGACTCACCATTTCCCATTGTTGACTTTGATGCCGTCGTAAGTCCCAATGCACGCACCGCCACGCACCGTGATTCCCGACGAAACATAATCCAAGTAGTAACAGTGGTCTCCGTTGTAAATATAGTTGCACTCCGCTACATTTCCCGGATTGAACCAATGTACACAGTAATAAATTCCCGCCGCATCCTGATCGCCGCTCATGTTTCGCGCCGTCGCCACAATCAGGTTGTTCGAAATCGTCGACAGCATGCAATCGCCCTGTAGGCTGACGTCAGCGCCGCAGCGAATCCCCGCGAAAAGGTAGTCGTGCACGTAATTGTTTCGCACGGTTACCCCCACCGCCCCGCGGTAGATCACGATACCCGTGTGTACACCTGCAGCACCGGAAACGGGTTTGCGGGAAAGAGAGGATATATTAGCGGGGTTGAACTGAGGACTCGAAGAGGGGAGGCGGATGAAATGGGTTGAGAGCAAGAAGATGAGAGGGGGGTTGGGAGGGTGATAGGGGTGGGGTTGGGGGGATGATGGTGGTGTCGAATAGGAGAATAGGAGGGAGTCGGGATGTGTGCTGTGGGGAGGGAGGGAGGCGAGGCGGAGAAAGTCTAGGAGGCGACGTTGGGCGGGGCGAAAGCTCACCGTAAACTTCGTTATTCGTGATGGCGATATACGACGGCTCCAGCGTCGGCCCGTACCCGCAATACGCCACGCGAATCACGCCGTTATTCAGATCGAAATCCGAGACGCCCGTGACCTTCATGCTGTCGATGCGCGACATGACGCTTCGGAACACGTCGATGCGCCCGAACAGAGACCCCTTCACCACCTGCACGTGATGACAGCCGTAAATCGACACCGTCGGGCAGATAATCCCCGCGCCGATGCTCGGAATGTTCGCGCAGGGAGCCGACGCGGCCGTGTACGGCTGTTGGAAGCTGATCCCGTGCACGAGCACGTTGCTCGTGTTCCAGATGCGCAGAAGCGGCTCGTCAGTGTTCGCGAGCGAGAGCGTCGCGCCGTTGGGCGGCGCGCGCGCGGAGCGAAGGATGGTGCAGGCGTAGGAGGCGTTGAAGAGCAGCCCGCGCGTTAAGGCGAGGTCGGATTGGAGCTCGAGAATGACCGTGGATTGCGGGGAGTACTGCAGCCGAAGCGCGAAGTCGTCTTCGGTGAACACGGCGATCTTGACCGCCGTGAGAAGCGGCGAGCAGGGGGGAGGCGTCTCGGTGGCGACTGGAGGAAATGGGGGCGGGGAGGGGGTTGGAAAGGGGGGTGAGGGAGCGGGGTGAAGAGGGGATGGGGAATGAGGATGGTGGGGTGCGAGGCTGAGCGAGGGGGCGAAGCCGGGGAGCTGAGCGAGGGGGAGGGGATGCCTCCGAGGGTTATCGACGAGGAATGGAGGAAATTGAAACAATGAGGCGGTGAGAAAGGGGAAACGGAGGGGAGGGGGGAGCGGAAAGCTTGGGAATGGGGAGGGTGTGGGTGAAGTGTGATTCCGGGCTGGTTGTGAGCGGCGGGAAGATATTTGAGTGGATGCAAGACCAAACGACACACATTGAGTCCCCTTGCGAGACATTCCGACGCATCGCCACGCTTCGCGCCGGGAGGAGGCAGGAAGAAGGGAAGAGGGATCCACATAGGGCTATTAACTCGTCTTCCGGTGGACTGATTAAAGGGAACGCGACCAGAGAACGATGACAGCAAAAAGGAGCAGCGGTCGCGCAATACGATACGATTTTTTTGTTGCGGTTACTGAAGGATGGAGATTCAGCGTGACTATAGCGGAAGCGCATACCCGTATTGCTTGTCGAGTACACTGCCATGCTGCTGCTGGCGAGAGATAGTGTGGACGTTGTCGTCGTGCTGGTAGTGTCCAATAGCGAGTACCGATGCGGGAGCGAAACATTCTCCCCTCTTGTTCCGTCACTGTTGCTTCTCTCATTGCTGTCTCCGTAAATGCCGCCAACCTTGCCATTGCCTTCCCCAGGGAACTCCGTGCCTCGAGGAAGTCTGGCGCTGCTACGCAGCTCCGTGTGCCGGCCATCTTGCCATTCGTCAGTTCCGACAATTTGGCCGTCTATTTGGCCGTCAAGCACGACATCGTGTCCCTCCTCCTGTCCCCTTTGCCTTCCGCCCAACCGTTGTTGAAAAAGGTCAGCGAGTAGCGGCAAAAGATGATGGCGCCGCGGCAGGCTGCGACTAAGGCTAACTGAGTAGCTATGGCCGCTCACGCGCGCGCGCGCACAGAAGAAGAGGGTTAGAAGCAACAGATGGAGACTTGCGCGAGCGAGAAAGTCAGGTCGCAAGCGTGAAGTGCGTGTCTGAAGCATGGTGGTTGATGTATCGGTGGTGGTGAAACGCGTAGGAGATGCTTACTACGTCGAGTCGATAGGAGATGCTTGAACAAGAAATTGTTGTCAGTACGCCATTGAAGAAGTGCGGTGAATTCGTCCAGCCAGCCTGTGTAGTTGTTGAGAATGATAAAGCTGGTCCTTGTGTGTGTGTGGTGTGGTGTTGTGTTGATTTCGTGCGGCTTGACTTCAAGCCAGCACAACACCGAGGAAATGACGGATCGCCCTGTTTTCAAGTTTCCGATTCCTTTAGGCAGTGGCTTTGACACCGCCTTGCTTCTCCGCTCGCGTCCAATTCCTTGGGGCAGCTGATTTCGACATTTCCAATTTCCTGTGACCAGGAAATTCTGAAGTTTACCTGGTTCTAGTTTAGTGGCCAGTGGAAAAAATAAACCCCTCTCGGATGGCTGGCCATTTGGGAGGCATCAACCCTAAACACCTTGCCTCACGGGGTTTCGGGTTGATACCTCCCAAATGGCATGCCCTCCATGAGGGGTATATATTTTTTGTCCCTAGCTTCTCGTAATTGACGCGACAATTCAATTTATGATATCCCGATAAATAAACACAATATTAGTCTCTGGACTCGAAACGGGGCAATAGCGTAAATAGCTGACTGAAGGTATCGGACTCGAGCGCAAAGCAAGGCGGTGTCAAAACAACTGCTAGAAGGAAACGGAAACCCAAAACCAGGGCGGTCCGTCATTCCCTCCACAACACCACTACCAAGTCGCTTGCAGGTCCCAAATCACATCTCAGGAGTCTGGGGCACAGACCAGGAGGCTATCCCAGGAGTCAGTGGTTCACATCAGCTGTACACTACAAAGCGGGCCGGAACGGGATGGAAGCAATTCATGGATGTTGAGCCCATAAGCATGGGGTGAATACCCCTTGATACGTACGTTACAGTTTCAAGCTGCCAGTCCTCCCTCACAGCAGCAAGTTCTGGAACAAATCCTGCAAATGCTGCCCGTTAAGTGAAACAACTATCATATCCCGCCTACAATACTTTCTGTCCCTTACCCAACCAATGCAACCTCGCTTCTGAACCAGACGGAGGCCAGGAGGACATGTCACCGATGACAGCCGCCTCGTTCGAAGCATCCCATTGGCAGTGTCGACTGTCCAGGCCATGTGATCAGAGCTCAACAACCTCTCTACAGTGTACCCAATTAACCACAACCGCTGCCGACAAAAACTTCTTTCTGCCCGCCCGTTCGAACAGCCACACGTTTGCAATTTCCGTTTCAGCTTGAGCCACTGAAAATCCTCGAAATTCATTCGGCTGTTCTCCTGATCAAGTGTTCTTGAGTAACGGATTTCACTGTTTCAAAGAGTTCGTACGCGGAAGCTTCTGTTGAGCCGTGGAATGACGTGGAGACAACCTTTCACAGTTTCATCTATCTGTCCAGATGTCCCACGCCAACAGCGCCACCAACCGTTAAATACTCGATAACAGCTTCGTTTTGAGATATATTTTCACTTGGTGCTGAACCTCATCAAATTCTTATGGTCTTAACCTTTCACGGGTAACACCACTTCAAATGGTTGCAAATGAATGCAGTAATGAAAATAGTACCACTACCATGTCAAGTAGTGTGCGCATGTAATCAGTAATTCTGCTTGATATATCAATCAAAGCCCCAAGCCCTCTCTTGTAGTTCATCACCTTCTTAACAAGGTACGCTTCTGCCTTGTAAATGTGTAGAGCTTTCAAATGTTAGTCAAATGTGTTTGCTACGCTTGGGTGATACATTTGGTAGCCTAGGTTAGGGTTTCCTATTCGTACCTCTCATTCCTCATCCGGTGCACATTATGTTTTTTTTACCTTGTATCGGTTACGTTAGGTCCGAGCTTCCGCTCACCGTCACCTAGCCTAACCCACCACCTACCTCATTCCTAGACTGCCCGCCAGCCTTAGCGCCGCCCGCTGATCTTACTGCCGCCAGCCAGCCTTAGCGCCAGCACAACAGCCAGCCCTAGCACCCCGCCAGTTCGCACAGCCACGCGCAAGCCAACGCGCCCAGCAGAGAGTGCGCCAGCACGCATTGCAACGCTTGCGCCATCAAACACAGCAACGCGCGCCGCAGCACGGACATCAGCGCACGCGCCCGCACGCACAGCAGCGCGCGCGCCCCAGCACGCGTAGCAACGAGCGCGCCCAGCAGAGCGTGCACTAGAACACGCAGCAGAGATCGCACCGGCACGCGCAGCAACGCGCACCAGCGCGCGCACCCGCACGCACAGCAGCGCTCACCCGCGGCGCGCTCGCCAGCGCACGCAGCACACATGCCAGAGCACGCAGCCGCTCCCGCACGCAGCTGCCGCCCGCACGCAGCTGCCGCCAGTGCGCACGTCAGCAGCTGCCGCAAGCGTGCACACCAGCAGCGTGCCAGTGGTGGGCGTCAGCAGCACTAGCGCCGGCAGCGCAAGAGGCAACAGCGCGCCACTGGCGCGCTACCCCTTACTGCCGTTCCTAGTGGCCACAGTCGTCCTCCCCTCTCCCCCCCCCCCCCCCCCCCCCCCCCCCACCCCCCACCCCCACTTAGGGTTCGACTGTTCCTGCCATTGTTCCTCGTACCGTTCCTAGCACTACATTTACTGCCGCTCCTCGTACCGTTCCTCTCGTTGTTCTTGCCACCGTTTCCAGCGACGTTTTTAGAGCTGTTCTTGCCGTCGCATTTAGCACCATTCCTAGCCCCTAGCCCCTTGCCCAGCACGGCTGTCGAATAGCCCGCCTAGTGCAGGTCATGGCGTCCGACGGAGTCCCACGCTTCGACGTCGAAGGGCGTGTAATCGACTTCGCCATGTGGCTGCTGCACACCAAGCTCCATCTCAAGAGCCAGCCTCAGGATGGTGACACCATGTACGCACACACTTCAAGTAAGTTGCCTGCCCCCCCCCCCCCCCCCCCCCCCCCCTCGTCCCACTCCTCTTCCTCCTACGCCTACGTCAACCGTCCAGGAGGCCTTCGTGCAGCTGCGCACTGCGTACTCGTTGTGGGAGTCTCGCAACGCTGCTGCTCGCCTCCTCCCATCGAACGAGTGCGTTCACTTTAGCCAGGTCACGTCGACGAAGGAGTGCTATGACGCTATCGTTTCTTGCTATTCCACTCCTTCCTCTGCTACCCTCAGTCGCCTCCTCATGCCCTTTCTCTTCCCATCCTTGGTTACATTCGTGACCGATGCTGATCTTGTTACTCACTTGACGATAGCTATCGTGCTGCATGCACCACTGCTCAGCTTTAGAGTCACCCCTCGCCTATCCACCTCACCATCTACTTTATTGTGATGCGTCTCTCTGGCTGCCTCTCGTCTGTATGCAACGTTATCCTCGCTAGGCACCCCACTGAGCTTACTATTGAGCTCATTGAGACTATTCTCAATGAGATCGAGGAGCACCTTCTCTCCGTCGCCTCTGCTACTACTGCAGTAATCCCCCGTCTCTTCGAGGGGTGTGCTCTACCCCAGCTCCCCACCTACCACTCTTGCTTCAACTGAGTCTCCAGCGATTGGGGAGACTGCAGCCATTGCTGCCTCTGGTGGGCGGCGGCGAGCCAAGGGAGGTTAGAAGGGTGGGAAGGGTGGCGAAAGTGGAGGAGGTGGAGGCGGTGGGGGTGCTGGTACTTTTGGGGGAGCCGACACTGGAGGCGGTTGCGGAGAATCACTCTACAATGGTATTTGGATTGCATGGGAGGCTATGGGGTGATCGGAGCGTTGTTAACACTTGTGCAAGTTTGTGTGTTCACAGGGGAAGTTCGTAAGAGTTTCACTACGAATTTGGATTGAACAATATTACAATGAGGAAAGCATGTCGATATGGCTAGGAAGGCATTGCAACACCTAGTAAGCATTCTGCAATGCCATCCGCCAGCGCAGCAGAAGAGCGGCTTGCCAACGTTGCAGTAGGGTGGCATGCCAGCATTGCACCCAAAGCAGTATGCCAACAGTGCAGTCGCAAGTGAACATGTGGGCACATGTGCATTACCTACCAAGTAGGTGCAGGTATGATGGTTGCCCATTGCGCAGGTGCCAGGTAGAACACGCGGCGATTGTTGCGTCAGATGCACATTGTTGAGCACATTCCACACGTCGACTTCGCCAAAACCACATGGAGCGAAATTTGCGCACATGCAAATTTCGTAGTCGAGCAGCTTTCGTAGACCAACTTGACGCCGCCCTGTCGACCAGCATTTGCCCAGACGAAGCTCATTGAACGGTGCTCA